TTAAATGATGTTAAATAAATTGTAGTGGGATAAGCAAGATTTCAGTTTTAAAAGACATATATTTGGAAAATCGTTTCATACACAACAAGTTTGAAGTAATTTTGTTTGAAGAAATTAGGCCGTAGGATGAGCATCCAAAAGATGCAATTCCGTTGCACCCCTCGTGTAACTACGTAATTTTCACATGAATAAATAGATAAAAACGTACTTTATCATAATCCGTTGCTCCCCAAGCGAAACAGGTGCACAATTGGGAGAAAAATCCCTCCAAAGTTTGATATTTTCGCGCTTCGAAATGCTCGAACCGCCATTATTTTGGTAGCAAATACGCATGCGCAACTAAGCCAAACTCGCACTGCGCACGCGCAGACTATAAAAATAGATTCTCACTGGGGGGTTTCCCCGATTTCCTCCGCAAAACAACAAAATAAAATCACGGAATACTGATAAACCTTGTATATAAATACACCCACATTAAATATTGTTAAAAACACATTGTATATTTTGCTTGCTCTTATGCTAAATCACTTCAATTCATTGGTTATTGTTTCAAAATACTGTTTTAACGTTTAATTCTACTTTGTATCAACATCCTAATTCAATACAAATTTGTGTGAGGTAAAAAACCCACCTGTATAAAACAGCTAGGACGAAGAAATAAAAAATATATATACATACAATTCACACGATCAAGGAACAAATGAAATATTTCGCTAAACTTAAAGCCTTGGCCAAACGTAAGAAACAATGTCGCGGAAATATTCGCGATTTTTAATTGGCTTTTATTGCATTTTATGAAACACTCTTTATCCATTTGCCGACGCTGATAAGACAATATCACATACCGAAAGATTGGAAAGACAAATAATATGACAAACAGTGTTTCCCAGTTCATACCGGGCTTTAAATTCATCATAAAAAAAGATAAATTGGGAGCAAATATAAAATCCATAATTTCATTATAGCTATCTATAATTGAAAGAAATGTTTTCATCTTTGAACCCAGATTTTCATCAGAGCAATAAAATCCCACTTATTGGATCCTGGCCAAGGGCTTGCTAGTTGCAGGAAATTGCGTCTGCACCGCAGGCTAAGGGCTTTCACGCTCAAAACGAGATTGCATGTATTCTGCAATAAGCTGTCCTGGCTTTTGTCTGGTAAAGTTCTACTTCTCGTATTTGAACTATTACATATATTATTATTTATATTGTGACATAAGTTGGTATTTAGCCACTATCTAGAATAACAACGAACGATTCATTATGGTTTTTCTTGTCCACACTAGTTGACTTTTTCTTATAGATTTGCTGCTGTGCATTTTAACTCCTCCACCAGGGTGCGTTTTAGCTTCCCAGACATGACCATACTGTTACCCTGTCCATGAGAGGGATATATGTGTTGATAATATAAATACTGTGGATTCAATTGAGAATATCGAATAAGTAAATAATACTGATCTACTCCACTGATAATATCTATGTGCATTACCACCATTGTTCACCTCAAATCATTAATAATTTATGAGCAAATTAGCCAACCATATTGCTTTATTTTGCTCACATGATAATACTAGACCCCTTATGAAGTATATTGATCCTGTAGTGCCCTACTGTAGGACTGGATTAAAATTAATTCAGTCCTTGAACTGGATCAAAATCAACTAAGTAGTGATTTATTCGTATGGATGACCTTTCAAATCCTCCAATTCGGACTGGACTAGATTTCAAGTCCTCACATTTTGATCCAGTCCTGTGCTTCACCTCGGACATAATCAAATTGTGTGGACTTGAAATCTAGTCTAGTCCTGACCTCATAGTCGGATTTGAAATATTATCCCTTGTCAAATCAGATGCCAATGGTGGCCAAGGAAGATTCAGTTTTGGTATTTCTTGCACCTTTTGGTGAAGAATCAATGCAGCATTGTATAGAATTTGTAACTCATTGACTTTAGAATTTCCCTCAGTTTTTGTGTTGGAATTCACATCTTCATAATGAATAGTACAGCTCTCTTCATCAAAGTCCTCATCATTGTTTTCAGACTTAGGGCCTGTTTATATGGAAGCCGGCCTGATAAGTGAGACAGCCTAGTAAGCAAGATCTCGCTGTGTAGTTATTTTATAGTAAAAGTTATTGTGTGTTTATATGGACAAGCGGGCTGGCCCGGTTGCAGAGATCTCGTTTGAAAGAGGCTAGATCTCGCTTACCGGGATGGAAATTTCTCCATATAAACATTTACAAGAGGGCTATTCCGGTTGCCGGGATGAAAGTTCAAAGATACCGCCGCAATCTATTTTTAACAACTGTCAAAACAATACAATGTAACAAAATCGTCCCGGCAAGCGGGATGAAAGTATCTCATATAAACACAAGAGAAATTCATCCCGCTTACCGGGCTGTGTCGCTAAGCTGGCCAGCCCGACTTCCATATAAACAGGCCCTTAATCGACATATGTTCCTCAACCAATTCAGATGAATCCAAATTTTCCACAAATACAATCTCACTAACATTTCTCATTTTCGGTACACAGAACACACATTGGGGATAACTTTTCATCAATCATTGCTTGAGTTTAAAAGCTCTACAGGAATGATAACAAATTTCTCCAGCAAATCTTGATTCTTTCATATACTTTATTTGCTTATTTCAGATGAGCTCCATCTCAATTACTTTTTTACAGAATACATCATAAGACTTCTCGTACAATGATGCTCTTGTTGCTTCTTCGTCTCTCTGGTGAGGAATATTGTATAATTGCAGTAGCAAACTTTGTGATAGCGGATTTCCAGAGCTACACAGTCTTTCCCCTGGATTTATACGAGTATCCGTTGATCATTCTTTCTCTCGGCAGCTGTACGTAGAAGACCAACATCAATTGTTTCTGCCAACATGAGTGGGGTTCTTCTTCTCTTCTTTAAAGTTGCCTGGTGTGAAACAAAATAAATTATTAAACTAAATATCTACTAATAACAAGGTTAGATGTTTGTAGCATAGAAACTACTTTAGGCCACTATTTGTTGTATATTAGTTTCTCATCCCCGCCCGCATGCTTTTTAAGAAAATGGTCTTGTTCGCCATTATTGCCATTATTGTTGCATTTGACCATTATTATTATTTTGTGATGTCTTCAAAGTGAAATTCAAAAGAAAGACAATTAGAAACGTTCCCAAACCAAATGTTATAGTTAAAATACGAAATTTCATACTCGAACTGCCAGTTTTCCCCGCATTACGTACACGCTTATTAATTAAATATCTAAACTCGGTTACGAGACGTTCTGGGTACAAAATTATTTTACATGCGGAGTGGCCATGTTTTTAATATGAAAACATGCTTTCAGTTGCACTTACTGATTTTGTGCTGTTTTTCAGAAAGTTGCAGCTGTATAAAACATACACACGCACTATACGCTTAATGCTTCCAAAATAAATTTTACGGGGAGTAGAGGGGAAATCCGGCAAATAATGGCATAATGGTAATGGCCCGCCCGCATCAACTTTAGGAGAAGCCCTGGATGAGAAACTAATATACAACAAATAGTGGCCTTACCCTAAGTAAACATAATTGATCACAATTCAATATATTTTAAAACCAAACCTGAGAATGTTGTGCACATTGCGCTAGTATTATACCTATCAAAATGACCATACCTTGTCTAGTGAGAACCACGAGGCGTCTCTTCCACAAATAATACATATCTCTGGGAGTACATGCGCGTTTCTTTTAGGCAGGGCGCCAGGGCATTTATATTCTAACATGTAATTTTTCGCCTTGGTTCTATTGCCTCCACTTCCACGTGTGATTCTTCGGTAGA